CCAAAAAAAAAAAAAAAAAAAAAAAATGCCTGGTCCTAGCCCTGAAGAGCTTCCAAGGTGGAAAAGTCAGATAAGAATTTTCAAGAAAGTATCACGCAGGGAAATCCCTCCTTTGCAGAGTGCTAGCCCAGTTTGGAAATTCTGGCTTCTAAGAAAGGCAATGTTTCACAGCATAGTAAAAATGTAAAAAAATTACCTAGCAAATTGGATCCTCATGGGGTTAACTAACTACACTGTTTCTAAAACAAAAACTCTAAGTCCTTCAGTAAACTTAACACATGATGAAATCTCTGGAGTGAAATAAATAATTTGTGAACTGTAAAGGACTGGCATAATCATCACCATTTAAAACTCATGCAAACTTTTTTTAAAACCTGTTAAGCAAGCGTATTCATTATTCATGCTACAGTTCTTCAAATTTAATACCATCTGTGTAATAATCTAAGCTTTGTCCGATATAAATGTTTTTATTACTGCAGGACAACAAATTCAAGATTGTGAAAACGACCATCTATTCCAGAAAAGGGAACATCTGAGAGGAGGGGGTACTTTAACTTGCTAATAAGCTTCAATCTAACAGGGATGTCTCATGATCACTATAATACGCATTTGCCAGCAAAAAGCTTGTGGGTATCTACACCAAACACTTAAACAGTTTCAAAGGAAAGTTTTGTAGCACTGCATATTAATTGCAAGGAAATGAAGGATGGCCTATCATTAACGCTGAGCTTCACTAAATATCAGGTACAATGGTAAGCTGTGTAGGGAACATGACAATATAATGAGCCTATTCAAAGGTGTTGTAAATGAGGAATATTATCATTTGTACTCTTAGGCAAAACTGCTGTCATGGATAAACACATTAATGACAGGTTTTCACACCTCAGATTAAAATAGCAAACAGCAAAAATAGAAACAGAAGGCCTGTTCCTGGGATGAGAGAGGTCAAGAAAAGAGATACAGAGATGATGTTAGCTTGCTACTGAGTGAGGAGCAATCATCAATGTGAGCAGTATATGCAGAATATATTTTCTGAGTGTAAATTTTCTTTTTTTCTGTGCACAAAATATTGTCATTCTTGCTTTAAGAAGATTTAGAAATACAGGCTGGCTGTTATTCTGAACTTTTTCAAACAAAAATG